TGAAACGCCATCATCGACGAGCCCTTATCCGCCTCTTAGCCCGCCTAATCGAGTGTCCACATCCTGCAGCCCCGATGACCTTTTACACTCGTCTTTCGCCACTCCTTCGCATCCCAGAAAAAGATCGCGATCCTCGGGTTCCGGGCAAAATACGAGCAAGAAGAATCCGGCCGTCAATGCAGCAGTATTACCGTACGGAGCGGAGTCCGAAGTGGTTGGCAACCCAAAGAAGCCCGTTCACAGGTGTCACATATGCAGCAGGGCATTCTTAAACAAAAGCAATATTAAGGTGCATTTACGTACGCATACGGGCGAGAAACCGTTTAAGTGTGACGTATGCAGTAAAGCTTTCAGGCAAAAGGCACATCTCATCAAACATCAGCAGATTCACAAAAGAGGCGGCAGGGAATAGATTCTCTCTCAAATCGAAGGGACACACTTTACAAAATAAAATTGGTAATTCTAATGATAAATAGCATAGGTAAAGATATATAATAGGAATAGACTTATAAACATACTTAAATTACGCTATATCGTACCTATGAGACATGGCGATAATGCGGCCATCGTAATGACATGTGATCACTCTAATCATTAGAATCCATTGGTTTAAATGCGTCCCTTGTAATTGAAGAAAGACAAAAGCGGACGCAATTCCGCCACTAATTTAATGGAAACAATCACGATCACGATCGCGTTCAAGATACCGACGTATAATATTATTTTTTAATATATAATTTCATGCATGTCTTGAAACACGCATTGAATCATATATTAAGATCACAAATTGAAGATTGAAACGTAACGTAATTGACATTAAATTGATAAAATATCAATATTGTTTTTTGAATAAAACATTTTTTTCGAGATTTTCACTTTTTACTTTTTGCAGTGAAGTCATTAATCGAACATCGTATTTTGATCGTCATTATTGTGTATGTAAAAATTAGTGTCTTTGATTTTTGTGCGTGTTAATCAAAATTAAAAATTATCACTAGAAGATAGTTTAAAATTTTTTTTAATTACAATAGTTTAATCATAAAGTTTTCGTTTTATTTTTCTAGATTGCAAAGTTAATGATGATTTCTGTATTTGATGCCTCGTGCGGCTATATACAGATCTGAAACTTTCACAACTTAAAATAGCAATGCAACGTTTATATATAATGTGTAAATACAGATTTAACATAAGGCATTGTGTTTATGTATATATTACTATTTGTGCTACAACATCACTGAAAATTGATGAAGTAAATAACAAACAGTAAGACAATTGTGGTTTTATATTATTAACTTTTATCTGATGTTAATAATATTTAATTGCAATCTATTAATGATGATGATAAACGCGATACTGAATTAATACTCAACTGCAAAAAATAAAGGATAAACATTTCAAATAAGAAATGCGCGTTTAGAAAAAATTTTGAGTAATTTGCACATTATTTAAATAAATCTAGAAATGTATATATTGTAGATATATACATTAAATATAATTCTGCAGTCTCAGTGTGTAAGAGAAATATCTCTCTTTAATAGAGATACATTTATAATATAATATTTCAAAGGTTTATAAATAATCAAGATCAAGATCTCAATTGTGATCGCGCAATTTTGTAAAATTCAGACTTTGTCAATGCAGCTATTTTGCATTAAAACTCGATTCCGGCCATTATGTATACGAAAACGAAACAATATGTAAAGTTATATATAAAAAATTATCAGTTAATAATATTTTTACAAAGATATAAATTTATGCGAAACCATGCTATTTATATACATGGTAATATACATATATATGTGTGTGTTATGGTGACTATGTAATCTTTGACTTTATATAATAATTATGACAATGATTATATAATTTTTGACATTTTGACAAAATCATTATCATTGTAAAAAATTTTTTATAATGCTTGTAATGTTATAAAAGAATTAATAAGCTTATTTGGCATTCTGATTGACAAATGAAAAAATTTTAAATACAATTTTATAATTAAACTTTTATAATAGAACATTTTTTATATTTGAAAATTTTATAATTGGAATTAAAATAATACTAAAAACAATACTAAAAATAATATGTCACATTCTTAAAATCTCTCAATATCTTTTCTTTATTTAAAGTTATGATTTGGACAACATTGTCAATATTATCGAATAGAGAGAAAGAATATTTATATGGAAAACATATTTTTATTATGAAAAATAATGATTTGTTGAAATTGGAACAGTATTAATTCTCTTAGTTGAGACTATCAAAAATAAATAAAAATTTTCAGAAGCTAAGTTAGAACATAAAAATTATGAATATAAGAAATAATGACTTTTTATCAATAATATTTTATTTTGACTTTCACCATAACACACACACATACATATATATATTTTTTTCACGGATAATTATTATATGTTATTATGGTAATTGTTAAAATTTATTAAAATATAATTATCAAAAAAATATAATATAGTATATAAAATATGGCAATAATAAATAAGAAATTATTAAAAGTATAAACTACAGGATATTAAAATTTCCTATAAAAAAAAGATAATTATTTCTATTCTATAACATTCTTTGAACGGCTTAAGATTTCTCGCTTTAGATCTTTTTTAAATTTATTATTTTAATATGTTCAAAACTTTTATTGAAAAAATCTGCTCAACAGTATTCTTAAATTATTATAAGAAAGTTGCGATTTTTATTAAACTTACTTGTATATAGATATTTAAAATAATATAATATAATATATAATGTAATAATATATAATATAATAATATAGATATTTAAAATTTTTGCATTTAAATATATTTGTTAAAATTGTTTAAGAATTACAATATTCAAAAAATATATGCAATAATTGAGTATAATCGAAAAGATAATAATTCTAAAAAAAATATATCAAAAATATGTATTTATTTTATTTAATATAAAATAAAATGCACAATAAAATAAAATTTTTTATGTTCTAATATTTGAGAAAAAATTGATTTTATTATATTTTTTTTAAATCTTGAATGATCTGTAATGACTGAATTTCTATCATATATCTTTGAATTCGTTTTGATAGTGATTATCATTAAATAAATATAAAAGTGTACAACACACATTACATTTATTAAAATAATTTAAAATAAATTATTATTCAAATTTTTAAAATAGTGTCAGAATCATTACACAACTATTAATTATAAAATATTTTGTATATTATTTATCAATCAATTTTTGAAACTTTCAACAAGATAACTTTGGACAAAGTTATTGAATGAAGGAAGAAAGGTACACTTTTATTATGAAAAATACTGACTTGATGGAAATGAAATAATATTAATTCTCTCATTAATTCTTCTCTTTGACTGCCAAATTTTATATACTATATACATGTTTTTTTTTTTATTTATTTGACTAATGGCGGAAAAATAGAAGAGAAAATATGGAATTTTTGTCTTCTATGAAGCATAAAACAGTATCATGTTTTCTTTCTCACAGTGAGATTTTTACTCTCACGAATTATTTCACAGAAAGAATATTATGTTCCCACTCAAATTAACTTGTGAATCTATGAGATGGCATGAATCGACCGATTCTGTCGATTTCAATTCTGCTCTAGTATTGAGCACAACTCAACTCTACACACAATAGCATTTAGCGAGTAGCTTCTAGTTCACTTCTGTTATTTATATCGCTTTTATATTAATCTTTGTAAACATCCCATCTCTTGATTCTCTCGTTATTTATCTTCCTTCGCATACTTTGTAAGATAGCCGTTTTTTCTCCGCCTTTTATTTAAGCTTCTACCCTTGTTTTTTAATTTATAAATTTAAGATACACCGTGTGTAAAATATTGTACGACAAATTACTTAATTGCACTCCCCTCACGATCCTGTGATATAAGGATCAACGTACGGGTTTCTTTTATATATATATATATATATATATATATATATATATATAAAATATACATATATATATAAATTGACGAGAGATGTGTGTACGTTCTTGTTAGAATCGTTGTCATAGATAAAAAATGAGTTTTCGATGGATCGACGATATAATCTCATAATTGTTTTAACACGGGAACTCTCGCAGTTCTCGATATTAGTCGTCGAATTCTGCGGATGCTTACTGTACACTTACTACGCGACCTGTTCATTTATCTGTCGCCACTCGATCCTCGAATTCTCGTCACTATTGTGGTAGTTAATAATTACGGAATGTATAAAGTCATACGCATTGTACATGTACATTATTTATAAAAAAATGACGTTTAATTAAATGATTGTTACCGTAATACAATGCTGTCGTTTTTTGTGCCGTGAGGATGTATCCTTTTATCTGAATCACTCATTTTCTATTTTCCACAATTCTTTTCAGTTCATTTCTATAGTAATCAATTCGGCAGTGGCGTTTTATGTTAAATATGTTTGTAATATTGTACAACGATGTAAGCAAAGAAAGTTGTATTATTCGCGGTGAAAGGCAATTTGGAAGAGATTATTTGGAAGAAGATATAATAATAAGAGATATACGTTATAATAATAAGAGATATACGTTTCTAAGATTATAATATTATAATACTTGTAAATACATCAACTTAAGAGAGAACATATATTCTTAAGAAGTGTTGATTATGATATAATATTGTGTGCGTGTGCATGATGAGGGTGTGTTTGTATGTTCATATTAATGTTTAATTTTTTAATTTTTTGTTATACATTAAATAAAAGAGAAATATAAAGATCAACGTGCACGCGTACAATATAATTTTTTAGATATTCGATTACTTGGCGTCATATAAATACATTCTTTCTACAAAATTTTACAGCGATATTGCAATTAAATTTGAAAGGAATCTATATACAGGGTATTTCATAAGTGGTGGGCCAAATTTCAGGAATAGATTCCTCATGTTTAGAGAAAAAAAAAGTTAATCAACAGGTTCGGAAATGATTAATTTTTGAGTTACTAAGATTTTTGTAATACAAAATTTTGTCTCATTTCTCGTCTTAGAAGTCCCTTTGCAGACATGTTATTTGCTCTTGATATCGATATTTTCATACGCTTTTGAGTTGTTAAGATTAATTCTAAATCTTAATAATTCAATAATTGATAATAACAATGTTTTTCAAGTTCGGCGGCCTATGTTTACATTAACGCGGTGTATTATTCTTATTCTTGTTTACAATTCCATACTCAGGAATTTGAAAGCGTGTTCGGGACAATGAGGTAACGAGCTGAGGCTTGTATTGTGACAGAAGGTGGACATATTGAACATTTCCTCTGTCCAAAATCTTAATAACTCGAAAACTAATCATTTCCGGACCTATATTGATTAACTTTTTTTTCTTCTGTAAGCATAAGGAATCCATTCCTGAAATTTTGCCCATCACTTGTAAAACACCCTGTATATATATCCAGGAAATTAAATTACCCTATGATTGATATTATTTATTATTATAAAGTTAGCACACACACAATAATTAGGGCGCTGTTTATTTGCGATAATCATCGTGGTTGTCAGCTTCCGGACTTTAGATGCGAATATATCATTTGAAGCAAACAACGGGGCAAAATTACCGACGAACTTTAACAAAGGATAGTATTGAAAAAGGATCTGGGACAGTTTGCGTGGCGGTTTGTTCTTGGCGGTTTATGCTTGGTACATGGACCACGGATTATTGTTGAATATAATGATATAACGGAAT